GGAGGAGGAGGAGGAGGAGGAGGAGGAGGAGAAGAAGAAGAAGAAGAGGAAGAAGAAGAAGAAGAAGAAGAAGAAGAAGAAGAAGAAGAAGAAGAAGAAGAAGAAGAAGAAGAAGAAGAAGAAGAAGAAGAAGAAAAATAATATTGTCCTTGGTGCTCCCTAAGCTTGGTTGCAGATGTTTCATTACCCAATTAGGTAACATCATGAGTGCTCCTAGCTTTTTATATAGGAGTATCTACTAATAAATATCTCTGTTTGACTGGCCAACTGATTTTAATAGATTACTGTATTAGTACTTAAAATGGTCACATCATCCATTCTCAGTTCAGGGGCTCTAATGACTTGAAAGAAGTCTAAAGCCTTGCAATTTTATTATATATAAAAATACTGTGCTTGTTGATAGAAGAATAACCTTCTTTTAAGATATTGGAGTGATTTTTTTGGGTAGTTTTCTCTACTTAATTGCTAGCAAATTAGACTCCAAGTTACTTTTAAAAGAAAGCTTCCTTTATCCACAGGCCTCCATTGCTCAAGGGGTATTATTACAGATTCGTGCAGGGAAGGTTCAGAGCTTAATTAGTTTAACTGAGTAACATTCGTCTTCCTTTCTTTGAGTAAAAAAAAAAAATCTACTACTTGCTCACAAAAACATTGCTCAGAGCGTTGATTGAGTTGAATTTCCTTCCTGGTGATTATATTCATGTTCTTTTCTTGGCAAGGACAGGCAAATAGTTTGTCACCACTGGTTTTTTCTGTGGTGTTTTTCAATTTCCTGGCTAGTCTAAATGTGCACGTAGCATCAATGTTCCAACTGACGAACCCAACCAAAGCAAGCACGGTGGAGACAATCCATTCTATTGAGTACATCAGTTCAGCACTGATGGGGGCAAAACCAGATCTAGCCCTGTGCAAACCCACATAATTAAAGTATAGGATTCTCCCTTCCCCTCTTAGTGCAGGTCCCATTGTCCACATGGCGTGTCATTGTAATGTTATGAGAAAAAGTCTCTGGCTCTGGAGAATACCTGCCAAAGTGTCCTTGGTTCTCACAGCTCGTCTTGGCATCTGCAGCCTCCAATCCATCTCTCCCTTCCCTCACCTTTGGGTCATTGGCAAGCTGAGAAGTGACAATGGTTGCAAAGCATAAGCATGCTTCGAACTTGACATGTACATTTAATTCTTCCACACAGTCTTGGGGATTTTTATAAGAAAACCAGAAAATATATCAAACGTTGAAACATCTCGGTTTGGCCTTAGACCAACTTGCATTGTAACCAATCAAACCTTCAAATCTGACTTGCTGTGAGGCGTGTTCAGAGCTGACGGGCTCCTCAGTGAACTTGGAGCCCAACATCTGCCTGATAACATTTTGTGGAATATATAGTCTCCCTCCCAACCACCTAGAAATCTTTTCAGAAATAGTTTCCTTTTCTTCTTTGCAGGAGCAACTGTTGAAACGACGCTGGGAAATGTTAATATTAAGCCAGAAATGTTTGTGCCATCTGAAACAAAGCTGCCCGATGTTCATTTCTATTACAAGTAAGTAGAAGAACGAATCATTCGATTCTTCATTTTCCTTTGCAATCTGCAGAGGGGATGTGAAAATTCAGGAGAAGCTTCCATTGTCACCAAAATAGCGAAATTAAATAGTCAAGAGGCACCATAATTTGTTTTGACTGTGGGTGTTAATAATCCTCCTGTAATATTATCCTCCCCCCCGGCTACGTTCTGTTTAGCATCATATGTAATATTAGAAACATGGTTCGTGTCCTTTTTCCATAGGATTCGGTTGTTCTTCTTGGTCAACCAATTTTATTCTTGCTCTTCACACGGCTGCCTTCTTAATTTCTGCAAAATGATTGGAGAAATAAAGCCCCTGATAGCACAATTAAAAGACATTCTTCTCTTTACCCGGACTGGCGGTCTAACTCAGTATTCTGGGTCTTAATAAAGGAGAAGATTTGTAGCTCAGGATTGAAATGAGGAGTCCCTGGTGTTCTCTAAGCTTGGTGCGTTTTGTCAAAGCATTTGCAGCTTGACTGCTATTGTGAGACAACCCAGGACCATATTTATTTATTAAATGTGCACTGCCAAGTCTCAAATAACTTGGAAGTTAAGCAGGGTTAGATTTGTCTAGTGAGTCCCGTAATAGGAAATAAAGATGTAGGCTACTGGAAAATTATTGTTACTACTACTACTACTACTTATTATTATTATTATTATTATTATTAGTAGTAGTAGTAGTAGTAGTAGTAGTATTAGTATTAGTATTAGTATTATATTTACCTTAACAGCTCAGGTTTTTCACTTGAACTGTTAAGTTTTTATCAGTCCCAGACTGTGAATATTATTATTATTATTATTATTATTATTATTATTATTATTATTATTATTAATAATAATAATAATAATAACAACAATAAAACAATAAATCTGAAAGGATGCAATGGCAGAAAATGTCAGTAAAATAGCTTGCATGAATTCACAAAGTCTCCAGGGGTGGAGCTGGACTCAAGAGTATCCTATATCGTATTGCCACATCCAGAGTTGCTAATAAATAGGGTAAAAACTGGCAATCCCTTTAGATAAGGCCTCTAGCCAAGAAGACCCCCCCCCTCCAAAATGAAGAACACCTGGTTGTTTTTCACTGCAGGAAGCTGAGAGGGACCCTGCGTCTCTCTGGGTAACACCTGGAACCCCCTTTTCTCCTCTCTGCCCAGGTCTTCGGGGGCTTCAGCCACTTGTGAAAATGGCCGCACGTCTGTGGTGACAATGAGGTGCAACCCCACGAAACTCGGCCAGGGAGAAATTTCAGTTCCCAGGTATGTGTTAAGACAGGAAACGCGAGCGGACGCAGCGGGTGGGATTCTTCCGGTTCGGACCAGTTCTGTAGGATCCGGTTGTTATGATTCTGTGCAGTTCGGAGAACCGGCAAATTGTGTCCCTGGCTGGTTCCGCCCCTCTCCGCTTGCCCCTCCGTTGCCCTCCCAGTCAGTCCTTATCGTGCATGGTCAACATGGCATGCATGTCCGACATCGCTGACGGCGTTCTCCTCCGCCCAGTCCCTCCTTAGGTATTTCTCCCCCCCCCTCTCCCGACGATCAGCTGTTCCGACGATCAGCTGTGCCGGGATCCCCCCCACTGTGTTACTGCTTCGCCCAGGGGAGTGTGTGTGTGGGGGGGGTCCTTGTAATGAAAGAAAGCTGGCGTCTTTAGTGCCTACAGAGATTGTCAGGCGTCCAGGTCATGGTTTATCCCAAAAGTGCTTTTTCAAGAGGCGGCTAGACTTTCTGGGTTTTCTCCTCCCTTGAAAACACTTTGCTTCTCATTCAAGAACCGAAGACGCTTCTGGGATGAGAAGGGAAACGTTTTCAAGGGGAAAAAACAAAAAAACCAAGGAAGTCCACTTCCCTTTTGGGTCTAAATTTTAGTGAGGATTGAATGAAAAACAAAAGGCTTAACCTTTTCCCCATCCAGGCTCACCAGTGCCTTGAAATCTATCCACAGATGTGGTCCCTAAACACCATCTTTTAAAAAAACCCCTCTTTTTTGGAATGTCACGATCCCATTTTTCTGTAGGATTTTTTTCTTCCTCTGCCTGTTCACCTGCAGAGGATCTTCTGAATTTGACCTTGTGGTTTAGGTTAGACCCAATGAGATGCCCTCCCCTTTACGATAGTTCCACCAACCTGAGCTCTTGGCCACGTGCAAACTAAATGATAAACCATGTATGGATTGATGCTCACCAAAGAGCAGCCCCTGGATGACTCCAGAGGTGCAGGCTGCTAACTCAGAGTCAAAAGAGGAGGAGACGGTGTGTTGGAGATGTTGAACCCTTGTTGGAAAAGGTCCTGAAAGCACGCCGAGCAATGAAGTGGAAGATGGTCCATTAAAGAAGGCGAGTGCTCATAATATATTTATCCTGGACCCAGGAGACAAACGACCACAGTTTTGCATTTTTCAGAGCGTTGTTAATGGCCAACTTGGCAACGTGTGTGTGTGATTTTTTTTTTGCAGTTCATGGACTGGGGTGTGTGACAGGGAGGAAGTCTCTTTGAGACCCAATTAAGTTAACCATTTTCTCCCTTCCGAATGCATCCCTCTAACCCAGCCAGCATTTCTCCTCCAGTTCTTGTCCTGCAGGTACCTGTGATGGGTGTGGATTCTACTTCTTGTGGGAAAGTGCGGAAGCTTGTCCCATGTGCACCGAGCAGGACTACCACGAGATCGAGGGTGCTTGTAAAAAAGGACACCAGGTAATTAACTGGTTGCATCTTCGGTGGCAGCTCAACACAGGTTGTGTAGTTGCACATTATGCTTTCTGTCTTATTAAAAATTGTAAGTCGGTTACAAATTTGGGTAAGGAAGGCCTGAGGAAACCCAAACGTATCACCAGGGATCTTGGGCCTTCATTTTTTTCCTCCCATGAGAAAAGCTGAAACACAACTTCAAAATCTCTATGTATAAGAGCAAAAAAGCACTCACGCATCATCACAAAAGCTACCAAACCGTAAAGCCTACAAAGTACTTGAAATTTGGCCCATAGGTTCCTCTTGGCTTCTAGATGCTCATTAAGGAAGGATTTTTCCAAATGACCCTCAGAGCATTTAGAGTCTTTCCTATATTATTATTATTATTATTATTATTATTATTATTATTATTATTATTA